AGAAGAGGAGGGGAGAGGAGAGGAGGGAGGGGAGGGGAGAGGAGAGGGAAGGGGAGAGGAGGGAGGGGAGGGGAGAGGAAGAGGGGGGGAGAGAAGGAGAGAACCGCCTAACTTGCAGTCATGACAGCTCACTTAGTTACCACCTCACAGCTAGAGTGAGCACGTCCTGCAGCACGTTCTGAACCCGTGCTTGTGGCCGTCTATGTGAGGTACACACCAACACACTCAGGCTCAGACCTGCATCAGAGGACACGCCTAAGAACGTCCACAGCAGGACAGTCCGATGCCTAAAACTACGGACTAACCAGGTGTCCGGGCATTCCTGAAAGTCTTCCATGTGACAGGATGCCAGGTCCAGCCACTTCCTGTTTCATAAGCAACACTCTACTGAGACTTAGCTGTCAATCCGTCATCGGAGGTGGCCTTTGAATGACAGCACAGCGCTGTGGTCACAGCAGACAGAAGATCCATAAAGTCCAGAGGGCTTTCTTATCTGGCCCCTTTCAGAATAAACATGCCATGCCCACTGTGCAGACATGGAAATAAACAACCGAGACCTCCCTGAGGAGTGTGGGTGACGCCCACGGTGGTGTCATGAGAAGACAAGGGAGCATCTGTGGCAGGCCACAGTCACAGAAACTCGAGACAGAGAGTCGTGGTCAGCCACGGAGGACACAGCGACCTGATTCTGGATCACAGAGAGATCTCGGGCTGAGTTTCTGAAGCTCATTCTTCAAGACGCACGCTCCCACTTGCACATTTTCCCCAGTGTGTGCGGCTTGTCAATAAAAGTTCCTAAATAACTAGAAAAGACAAGTGGGCATGTCGTGGTGCTGAGAACCTTCTGCCCGTGTTCCCTTCATGGGAAATCTCAGACAACATACTGTCAAGTGAGAAACAGACAACTTCTAATGTCCACACGTGAGCACACATTTTCACTCGCTCCGCAAATGTATTGATCACTCCGCCAACCAGGTGCTGGGAAACTGGCAGTGAGTGAGGTCGACTCAGCCACCGCCTCCTTGGCACTTCAAGGTCCTGTGTGCCTACCGCCACACGTGTGTCCGCCACACTCATCCACATGACAAGAACCTGCAGAAGTCCGCCTAGAACCTGTATGCGCAGGCAGGGGTGCCGTCGATGTGTAAGCACTTTTCTGACTGCTGCCTCCTCCCTCCGGAGTTATCTCGGTGTTTGGCTTACCACAGGCAGGCGACTGACCACACCTGGGTGACATCACCCAGAGGGGACATGGACCTCTAGAGGGCCACCAGCCTGGGCTAAATAGCAACTGCTTCCTTCTCAGTCCCGTGATGCTCAGCCTTGAAAGCCAATGCCCCTGAAAGCCTGACACATTATGAGTCTTCAATCTTAGGGAACCCCGGCACTTGTCACGTGACAAGGCCACCCTGTTGTCCTGTCTTTCTCTGTGTGTGCACACATGTGTGGGATACACACAGAGGCCAGGGGAGGATGCCGGGCATGCCCGCCTCTATACTTCTCCTTCCTTTGAGGCCCACTGACCTTGAAGTAGCTTGGCCAGCCATCAAGTCCCAGCCATCCTTCTCTCTGCTCTCCCAAACTGCTGAGGTTAAAGGTCATACATAGGGCCACCGGCTTTTTTTTTTTTTTTAAACATAGGTGTTGGGATCCAAACTCAGCTCTTCACGATTGCGTATCAGTCATTCCTACTCCCGGAGGCTCCCTTCTCTGTCTTCCCTTTTATTGAGCATACCGTCCATCCTGGAAGTGTCTGACCTGTGTCTATTCACAAAACAACCACTCACTCAGAGACTGCTGGGTGGGGTGGGGTGAGGAGGTCCTACGAACGCTAACCGTGTCTCCACATGAGGCTCCCGGCTCAGGTTTGTGGCAGCCAGCCTCGCCTCGCCCCCTACCCCTTCAGTATCAGCCTCTGGAGAACACTGAGAGTCAGGCCACGTCAAAGATTGCCCAAGGATGTAGCTAGAGTTTTCCTGCCTTGCCCACAGTCAGGACAAATCTTTGTCACCTGCCAGTCCCACAGCTGCTCAGACCCAACCAAGTAAACACAGAGACTTATATTGCTTACAAACTGTATGGCCGTGGCAGGCTTCTTGCTAACTATTCTTATAGCTTAAATTAATCCATTTCCATAAATCTATACCTTGCCATGTGGCTTGTGGCTTACCAGAATCTTCACATGCTGCTTGTCCTGGCAGCGGCTGGCAGTGACTCCTGCCTTCCTGTTCTTTCTTTTCTCCTCTCTGTTAGTCCCGCCTATACTTCCTGCCTAGCCACTGGCCAGTCAGTGTTTTATTTATTGACCAATCAGAGCAACACATTTGCCATACAGACCATCCCACAGCACAAGGACATACTGTTGATAGTCTGATCCCGTAGAGCAGGAGACTCTTAATCTCAGGGTCATGGGTTTGAGCCCCACATTGGGCGCCAATGCTACGATATTACATGTGTCGGTGGGTAGAGCCAAGGTGAGAGACAGAGACCCCATTCAGACAGCGCTCAGTGAAGATTTTTAATTTGGGGGGGGAGAAGGAAGGAAAGAGAGAGATGGAGAGGTGGGGTTAGGGGTTTGAGAGGTGCGCACCTTGTGGGAGGAAAGTGGAAGAGAGAGAAGGAATGGGTGGAGTTTTCCCTGAAGAATAGGCTTTTACATCAAGGCCTAGGATGGTGCCAAAGGGCGGGATTGTAATATTAACATACACAGCTTGCAAGTGGTCAAGGTGGGATATGGCCCCAAGCTCTCTGTTCCAAAGTTGGCAATGTGGCTATCACAATACAGGGCTCAGCCCTGGAGTCCTCATCCTCAAATCTGGGAGCGAGTCTGTGGTTGCACATCCGACCGTGTGCCACTGTGCATCTACAGTCAAAAGGAGTGCCTACTGGTCACAGCTCAGATCCAAAACCTGGTGACTCTCTCTAATCTGTTGCCACCAATTAATGTGACACCCACCTCTGTCTCTGCACCACTATTGTCTCAGAATTAAAGAGACAGCCGCCCCAGGTCCTCTGTAAAGAAAGAGGCTGCGCAGCCAACACCATTTAGTATGCTAAGCAGGTTCCTGCTTCCTGCTAAGTGCTGGTGCTGGCTTTGAGACGGGAGATACATTTAAATTAACCCCACGCTATTCCTCCTCCAGATCCCCTCCTAGGGCTGACTCCTTAGCACTGACATTATTAACTCAGCAGGAGTACAGCGATGGCTTCCTCCCTGCCATAGGCTTGGGGAGGGCCCTGTGTGGCTCCCCACTTTAGATTTGGAGAGGGCAGGGTCCTGTGTGGCTTCCCCCTTAGGCTTGAGGAGGGCCCTGTGTGGCTCCCCCACCCCTGTCTTAGACTTGGGATGGCCTCTGTGTGGCTCCCCGCCTTAGATTTGGAGAGGGCAGGGCCCTGGGTGGCTCCCCCCCCTTAGGCTTGAGGAGGGCCCTGTGTGGCTCCCCCACCCCTGTCTTAGACTTGGGCAGGGCCCTGTGTGGCTCCCCCACCCCCCACCTTAGACTTGGAGAGGGTCCTGTGTGGCTTCCCCCTTAGGCTTGAGGAGGGCCCTGTGTGGCTCCCACACCCTGTCTTAGACTTGGGGAGGGCTCTGTGTGGCTCTCCCCCGCCCGTTAGGCTTGAGGAGGGCCCTGTGTGGCTCCCACACCCTGTCTTAGACTTGGGATGGGCTCTGTGTGGCTTCCCCATCTCACTGCCTTAGGTTTGGGAGGAGCTTTGCTTTTGTGTAGGCACTGAAGGGTAGAAATCAGAGCTCAGATAGAACTGAGCCCCCAGGCCCTGCCAAGGCCTCCTTAGAACCTGGGTCTGACCGGTTCCCTCCAGGAGCACAGTAAACACCTGTTTAGTGAGCATCTACCTCGTACATCTCTTCCTTTGAATTCAGTGCTGGGGCTCCAGGTGAAGCCAGCAGAATCCCTGTCCATGGAGAACACGAGTTCCGGTGTGAGACAGATAACACAGGTGGTCAAGTCTGTTTCGTACTAGGGAGGCAGGGCCAGGCAAGCAGGCTTAAAGGGCAGATGGGCACACGTGGTGGTATTTGGGGCTTGTAATGGACTTATAAGTGAGACCAGTGAATCCTGACGCCATTCATTCAAAGCCAAGAGACTCCCAGGCCAGGGGATCCAGGCTCTGTCGATGCACTGTGGATCTCCAAGCACCTGGGAAGTTCAGCCCACTGCACTGGCTGTGGAGCAGAATACAGGAAAGAGACTGTCTGCCCATGGTGCTCTGACTTCCTGCAGCGAGTCGTTTATTCCCTGAGGTGAGCAGAGCTGGAGCAGGCAGCTTCACTGGGGACGTGTGAGCGCCTGCTGCTAGAGTGGGCGGGGCAGCCGGATGTTCCCTCTGCCTCCTGTGCTTTAGGCTCCCACAGCGCAATACCCCTCTGGGTGGAGTTCAATCCCAACTTGCCTATGAACTTGGACTCTGAGGCACTGCAGCAATCGCCCAGCCCTTCCCTGGGTCTCTCCCACGCTCGTCCTCTTCTCTCAACAGACCCTCCCGTCTTGGCAACAGACGCAAGGGCCAGAAGCAGCTCCTCTCATGCGTGAACAGCTGCCCTTGGAGTGCGCTGACCTGCGTTCTTCCCAGCCTCTTGAGGACCCTACCTCTTCTAAGAGCCACAGGCCATTGCACAATAAACCTTTATCAATATGACTCCAATAAATGTTTCAGCTCGCATATAAATCCCAGCACCCGCTGCCCAGTGGAGGAGACCTGCTCAATGCTCAGCCCATAAAGAAGTAATAATGCAGTTAAAAGGTGGGGCCAGTCACCCTCGTAAAGCCAGGGATCGATGAGGGGGAGCTGAGGACAGCAGGCAGCGGATCCTGCCTGCTTTGCTGTACAGCTGAAGTAGAAGGGTGCCGAGTAAGCCATGGACACAGGGAGGCCCTGGCTGAGGACCTCCATCCCTGAATCTCAGCGGACATGGTCAAGGGGTCTACATTCTGTCTCCAGGTCAGTCAGGCCTCCACTAAGTCCCTTCAACTCAGTAAGCCTCGGTCTTCTCCCCAGGAAGGGCAATGAATGTTCTTTGTTCAGGAAATGGGAAGGTGAAACAGAAGCCATGATTCTGACGCTCAAGGGGGCGGAGGTCCCAAGACACCCCAGGGTGGGTAGACGCAGATCGGACGGATGGGAGGAAGAGAGACCCCTGGAGGGCAATAGGAAGTCATGGGGACTGATGGAAACAGGCCCCTCACGGCTCTGCCTGCAGCTGCCATGTGAGCTTCCAGCTCTAGGCATCAAAACAATCAGAGTTTCAGGTTTCACAAGTCGGCAGGGGTTAAAAGTAAGTGTTCCTGCTGGCTGCACACCACCATTCGGCCACTTTCAACACTTCCTTGGTGGTCACCAGAGGGAGTGGCTGGGTCTCTGCTAATACCTGGCACACTCAGGAGCTGCACACATGTCCCTGCACGCACGCACGCACGCACGCACGCACGCACGCACGCACAGCAGAGCACTGGAGCTATGACTTTTCCCATCATAGATTCTGCTAAACCCTGCTCATTATTTGCTGTGGGGCCTCAGGCAAGTTACTGAGCCTCTCTGAGGTTCAGTTTCAAAGTTACTAATTCTTAAAAAGATTCAAGGACCACTTGCCCAAAGCACACAAGACATAGTGTTGGGAGACCCAGTGCACTTAGATTGCAGCTGGCAGATGCAAAAGCATGCCCAGGACAGACAGTGGGGGTAGAGGGGTATATTACCCTGGGATCATGCTTTCCAAATGCATCACCCTCCTCAAGATCAGCCATTTTCTCTGACCATCTGCAGCAGCCCTTAGAAAAGGCATCGGGGAGCAGAGGCCAAATGGCAGAGGTCAAGGGGCAGAGGGCCATGTGTCTCTGAGGATACTTACCCACAGCCTCAGGTGTCTTTGAACATCCGGGATTCACTACGCCTGGTGTGTGCGTTTGTTGGTCTGATATCTGTTTATCCCACAGTGACCCACACTGGACACACAGCTGAATGAACTTGGACTTCTCGGGCCGTACAGATGTGTGTCCTATTCCAGCTGTGGCAACAAGGTGAGGGGGGGAGATACTGGGAAGGGCTCACCTGAGGAAGTGAATGTGGCTGCCCAGCGATGAGATCGGCCCGGAGGAAACCAAAGTACACGCAGAGTCTCTGATGGGAAGAATCACAGGGCGGTTGGGTGGCCATAAAAGTGCAGACTAGCTCTGTGCAGGCACCCCAAGGCTTCCATGAACCCTGCCCTTTGGTGCCTGTGCCGATGATCCTCAAACTATAGTTTAAAGACCTTTTGCTAAAAATTCCTGGCCCCTGAGTGTCGCCCACAGACGTATAGAGTGGGACACTCCGGAGGCACAACGCCGGAGAGCTTATGTTCGTGGGAATGTAAGAGTCCAGTCACCGTCAAGCGTCCCCCACCCCAGACACACACCCATGGCCCCGGAGCTTTGCAGTGGTCACCAGAGGGGAGGCACATAACGGGAAGTACTCACTTCTCTCACACGCCCCCTTCTGCACGAGCCTTCCCATTTCCAGTTTCCATCTATTTGCTAACACTGTCATTGTGGTGTATGTGTGCAGGTGTGGATGCCACGGCACACACGTGGAGGTCAGAGGACAACTTTGCAGAGTCAGTTCTCTGCGTCTACCTTCACGTGGATTCCAGGGATCCAACACAGATCGCCAGGCTAGTGCACATCAAATGGCTGTCCCCACACATGGGCTTTCTTGTCTGTCTTGACCTTGGCTCCAAACACTTGGTGCATCGGGAACCCGAGGCTCAGAGAGGGAGGGTGACCCACCAGTAAACAGGGATCCCAACCGTAACATCACCCTCTCCATTTCCCTATTCAATAGCTAGGTCCACCTGGAACCAGGGTAGCAGGTGGGACAGTCCAGACCTGTGGACGGTCACAGTCAGGAGGTCAGCCCCACCGTGGGAACAACGCTGGGAATGACTGGACAAGCCACTTCCCCTTTGAGGCCCTGTGTATCTTCCTCTGTGGAAGGTGGTGAAACATCCATCGGCCCAGCATAAGTCCCAAAGAGGTGATGCGTCGACAAGGCAGTTCCGTCCCTAAAGAAATAGCTACAATGCACAGGCAGAGCCTCTGCCATTTCCTGTTTAGACACTGGTCACAGCCAGCACAGAAGCAAATGCTCAGCCAGCATGGCAGAGGGCTGCTCAGAGCATCCAATCCCAGGTTACCAGTGATCCCTGCAGCTTTGCTCACTGTCCCAAACACAGTGGGTACTAAGAGAACAAGCCTAGGTTAGCCCTAGGAGGGCAGAGAAGCAGTGTGCCCAAAGCCACCCAGCCGTTGGATGGTGGCCCTTGCCTGAAAGCCGAGACCTGATCCCTCCAGAACTCAGGCTTCCAGTGCTCTTGTGACGGGCACCCGTGACATCTTGTGCACATGTGTGGGCCTTGCATGGAGCTGCAGGGCCAATGCACTGTAGCACTGGGTGCAGGGACCCGCCCCTGCTCATGAACCATCAGAAATTCACTTGAAAGACATTCCCATCTCAGGAACAGGCGCCCTGATGAGGCGAGGGTGTGGTGAGTGACAGCCTGAGACCCAAAGGCAGGGGTACCTCAGATGGCGGTGGGACCAGAACTCAGGCTGACAGAATACTACGCTTCCAACACAGCCCACCCGATGTCAAGGGAAGGCAGTAGGGTCAGGATGGGACTCATCTGAGAGATTTGTGCCAGGGAGACTGAAGGAAGGTGGTGAAGGGCCCCCCTTCCTTGGGGGATGTTGGGACTGGGGACTGTGAAAGAACTACAGGTTTCCGTTTCATGCAGCAGACAGCTTGCAAAACTGGCTCAGACTTCCTCCTGCTTCTCTCCTCGTGGCCTGTGGTGTGTTTTCAGTCCTGCCGTCAGGATGCTCTGCCTGTCCCATGCCATCCATTTGTGGTGGCCCCAGACCTGCTTCAGCCACAGAAAGTGAGGAGAGAAGCCACCTTTCCCACAATGCTGTGCAAAGACCTTTCCTAAGCAACAGCAGGTGCTTAGAGCAAAAAGCCATGGAGCTTGGGGGCTGTTTGTTCTTGAGTATTAGCTAGCGGACACTTTCATTCCTCTACGTTTTTAAAAACAACTTATCCTATTTTTCAAAATGCTGTCTGTATGTCTCTGTGTGTACACATGGGTACAGGTATAGGCAGAAGCCAGAGATGGTGTTGTATTCCCCAGAACCGGAGTTACAGGTGGTTGTGAGTCACCCAGTGCTTTTGAGTGTTGGGAACTGAACTCAGACCCTCTGTAAGAGCAGAGTGCTGAGCCATCTCTTTAGTCCAGTTCCCTTACTTTCTAAGCCTGTGGTCTTGGGGAAAAAAATCACCTCACCTCTCCGAGCCTCAGTTTACCCACTTGTAGAGGAGTGACGAGGATGGTGAGGCAACTTCCCAGAGTTCTGTGGAGATGGAGTAGGAGAAGGCAACACAGCCCTGGTGGGCAGGAAAGATGCTCTGGCTTCTTCTGTCTAGGAAGCCCTCTCTCTGCCTCAGTCACCCTGGGACTACGGAGTGTGCCTTTCGCTCCCAGGCAACACTACAGACAGATCTGTAATTAAACGGCAACTAAGCGAAATAGCTCTGGGAACTCCAAGCTGCGCCCTGGCCCCTGGACCCCATTGGAGCCCTGGGCCAGCCAGGGCAGGGCCAGCAGCGCCAGGGTGGGTGGCCCCTGTGCCGGCTGAGTTCAGTGGTGCGGCTCTCCCTGCTTGCCGGAGCTTGCGTGTTTACATACATCCCATAATCACCATCTGCACAGCCAGCGGCGCTTGTTGCAAATGGGCCATTTCCATCTGTTGAAGCAATTTCCTCAGAGGAATTCGCGTTGATCACTTTTTTATGCAAAGCTTTTGTGGAGACCATTTTTCCCCCCAATGGTTTTTAATAGGTCTAAATATCTGAGGCGCAGGGAGGGGCCTCCCAGGAAGGAAGCGGCACAGGGAACAGTGGCCGTGGGCAGCGAAGGAGGGGGAGGCTGAGCTCCCCCGAAATTCTACCTGTATTCCCCATCTGTGGCCCCCAAACCCATCACCATGGCAGGCCCCCAGCCTGGGTGATGCCATGTTAAAAATTTCTTGCTTGGAGTTCTCCTGGAGCCAGCAGCCCCTGGCTAATGGAGAGGCCTCGCGCAGGGAGGGAGACCGGGGTGTGGTAATTGGCCGAGCAACTGGTGATTCCACTCTGGGCTCCATACCTGAGAGGACCAGATGGGCAATTTTGCATACTTTTGACAGCTGCAATGAACAGGGCAGCTCCGTATTGATTAAATGTCTGGGAAATTAGTGCAGCCCTCGGGAGCTTTGTTATTTACTATTTCTGCTCAAATCTCAGCAAAGTTTACATAAGCAGAAGTCGAGATTGTTGAATGAGATGATAAATACTTTCCAGGGCCCCGGCCCCTCAGATGCAGAAGGGAAGGTGGACTGTGGCTTTGGCATTGAACTCCTGGAGGGCATGTTGGTGTCTGTATCCCCAGCTTCCAGTAGGGTGCCTGGTGCCTAGTAGGTGTCCAGAAAATGTTTATTCCTTAATGGACAGTGGACACAAAAAGAATCTAAGTCCTGGATAAGGGGCGTCCAGAAGCCAAATGTCTATGCTGCCCCATGCTTCAACTAGCCCCCCTATC